GATTTAAATGTTTCTTGCTTAAAATATTGTCTTGAGATTTCTGTTATGTTTCGAGATTCGTGCTGGATGATGAAAATTTGTTGGTGATGTATTTGTTGCACCCTTAATTTTGGACGAGACCATTTTTATCATCCGGAAATATCGATATCCGAAGTATTTATGTATAAGTATAAATATTTCTTACTTAGTTAGCATAAGAATAATTTTTATCCTTATATAAATAAAAAGCTGAACCCAGCTTAGTTGGTTATTATTTTTTGCTTCATGTGGGAGAGGGAAGGTTCGAATCCCGTTTAAAACAGAATAAATAATATTTTTGTAAAAGAATTTGAAGAGATTAAGAAATTTGAAGCAATCAGGAATTTGAAGAGAAATTTGAATTCCAAAAAGAAGATTAATAGAATTTGACCCTTTTTTTTAATATACAAAGTTTTTATTTATTATTATTTATTAGTATTCAATGCTTGCACATTTTTTTAGATTTTTTTTATTAATGTGCATTTATTGGGCAAGACTCTTTTTGAGCCTAAAAATAGGGGCCTAAAGGAGTGCGTAGAGGTGGAGTACTCAGTTGATCTGGGATTTCGCAGAAGAAGAAAATAGTCCCGAGCAGCAGTGAAGAGTTGCAGCGAAGAGTTGCGGTCAAGTGTTGGGGTGGTGCAGAGTTGCGGCGAAGAGTTGCGGCGAAGAGTTGCGGCAAGGCGTTACGGCAAAGAGTTGTGGCAAAGCGTAGTAGTACGGAGTTGCGGTGAAGCGTTGCGGTGCAAAGTTGCGGCAAAGCGTTGCGGGGAAGGGTTCCGATGAGAGTTCCGATGAAGCGTTGCGGTGCAAAATTGCGGCAAAGCGTTGCGTTGTGGGGAAGAGTTCCGGCAAAAGCGTTGCGGTGCAGAGTTTTGGCGAAGCGTTGCGATGAAGCGTTGTGGTGAAGCGTTGTGGTGAAGCGTTGCGGTGCAAAGTTACGGTGAAGTGTTGCGGTGTACTATCGTGGAAATGATGACAACTGGAGAACCCCATTATGCTAAAAACCAGAGGAAAAGTCACAAACCAGAGGATGTTGTATCAATTTTGAAGGAGAGCAAATTGATCTTTTTTTGAAAGAAGTATTATTTCTTGAACAATATGGTGGTGAGATTTCTAACTTCAACTGATTTAGTGTATTCTCCTCCTTGTGGGTATGTCGCTATTCATAAGTTAACCTTGGAAGCAGGCTTAAGATTACCACCGGCACCTGAGTTTATTGATATTATGAAAGCGTTCGGGGTTTTCGTTGCTCAGTTGTCTTGTCGGGTGGTGACAGTTATTATTGGGTTGACAGCTTTGTTTAGGAGTCGTGGGTTGAAGTTAACACCAGAAATTTTGGCACGACTGTGTGGGCTCTTTACTGATATGCATGATCGTGTGCTGTTTAAGTATAAGGAGTTGGATTTCTACCTAAAAAAATCGATAAGACAATGGTCCGTAAGATTCTTCTTTGCAAACAAATAATTGGGGACTCTGCGAGAGGCGAGGAAGGTTTCAACAATTATCCGTATCTCTTCAGACTACTGAAGAGGGAATATTGCAGATGCTGAGATTTAGTGACTTGAAGGAGATGTTGTTTGAGACACAATATATTTATGAATTAGTTAGTGAGGAGTCATTGTTCAAGTTCAAGCTTTCTTTCCACCCCGAATGGTCAACAACTGTAGTGTTAAAGAAATCTAAGAAGAGACCTTCCGAGCTAGCGCTCACAGAATCCTCAAAGCGGCTCCCAACGAGCAGTGAATGTGAATTACAACCTTAAAAATAAAAGAAAGTTGAAACATCACGAGAGCACTTGCTAAGCTCTTCAATTATTCACATTCCTGAAAATAGCTTGTCTCATGAATGTACTGGTCTCCTGGAAGCTAAGAGTTTTGTAAGTTTCTTTCATTTTCTACTACTATATAATTATATCATCTCTCTAACCCATATTTCTTTTATTCTAGGATCCAATAGGGGCTAGGACTAGCATTGAGAAACTGGAACTCCGAGTTTGTTAAGAACAAAAATTTTCAAGGCGAGTACAAGCGTCAGTATGAATCTGGGGTTGAAACAATTACATCTCTGGAATCACAATTGACATAGTGTAGTACAAAACTTTCAACAATTGCAACTTCCCTCTCGTTGCAGCTTCAGGATCTGGAGAAACTCATGAGGGGTTGGTGGAAGCACGAGCCAGCTTTTGTGAAAGTAATAAGAGTGTAAAAGCCCTTAAATTGATGGTGTTAGCCCAAGAAGAAGATATCCAACTTTTGAGGTCCGCAAAAAATGTTGATGTCTCAGAAGTTAAGTGTACAACGGTCGAGGACTTTAAGAACTCACTTGAGTTTAAGACTATCATTCGAGACCGTGTTCAAGAGGCTCGTGATCGGGTGCTTGATGTTGAGGTAAAGGAGCAACAAAAGTGGTTCATTGAGGGAAGATTCATCCAAGGTTTTTTGAAGGGGAGTCGAGCATTGCAATGTCGAACTAGGATTGTCATTGAGGAGCTCACTCCTAGCCAAGCTTTGAAGAATTCTTCCTCAGATTCTAACGGTGTTGACATCGAGAGTGAATTGAAGAAGTTGCTCTTTAATGACGATGAGAGGGCAGAGGAGAATGTTGACATTGATTAGTGTTATACTCCAACTTTTATGCTTGTAGTGTGTTTGTTTTTGTCATGTTGTATGAATGATGCATGTGAATCATCTTGTTTAATTATTTGATTCTGTTAATTATTTGCCCCCGAGAATCTTCTCTTACTTTTTATTTTTGTTTTATGATAATGTCGAAACATGTTTTTCTTTTCATTCTATAGTGGATATAAGATATCTTAGAAGTTCTAGTATGTGAGAAAGTTACTATGAGGATAAATCGCCAGCGGCTCTTAACTTGGCTAGGGCTATTGACAACAACTTTATATATGCAATAAAATATAAGATAAATTTGGACGTATTAAATATTCAATAATTGTAAAGTCACACTTATCAACGCAAGTATACGTATCACTCAAGTAATATATGGCTCTAATGGAGTCCTAGATATCGATCCCACAGGGAGTAGTTTAGAATTACGGACTAAGACCTTAGAAAAAT